CAGTTTGTGACCCTGGATCTCTCAAGTTTAAAGCTACTGCCTTTCAATCAGATTAAAAAATAAATAAATAAAGCATGTAATGATTATTTTTTGTAACATAACTTAACATTTAATTGAGACTTTAGTACATTGGGTTATAAGCCAGTATCTAATGGATTTGGTTGAATGATACCAAAATGTGCTATGATTCCAAATTCCATCTGTTTCAATTACCTTTAAAGCAACTTATTTTTCTAGTTTAGAATCCATGCATTACAATATCTTATTTTCCAGCTTACTCAGCGGCGGTTACATTTACTTCCACATTTTTGTTCTCTTTACATTTGTAGCTATCACATGTAGGATAGACTTCTTTAATTTGGTTTTTTTTTTTGTGGGGGTGGGTTGTAACACTGCTTCATGACTTTGTTGTACTTCATTTTTTATTTTTTAATCTGATTGAAAGGCAGTAGCTTTAAACTTGAGAGATCCAGGGTCACAAACTGCCCCCTCCTCCCCTCCCCTCCCCTAAGTGATAGAGAACATCTGAAGAATAACTGAAACCATAAATATAACATTTATAGAATTAGAACCCAAGTGAAGTCAGAATTTCTAATAGAATTCTGTAACTATGCCTAGTGGAATGCAAATACATTTGTTCTTTAGATATTCTTCATCAGTATGGGGACATCAGGGATAGAGGAGGCTGTCAGAGTACACGTCACAGTTATCCTTGTGCTTACAAATTTTGGATACTCAGAAAAGATTAAGGACAGTGTTGGGTAGGATCCCAGCTTCAGAAGTTGAAAACAGAGAAAATGGAACCACCCCAAAATAGTAGCAAAGACAAAAAAGTGCCATAGTTTGTTAGCCCACAACTCTGTTATCCGTTAATCTGTTAATAAGCCAAACACCATCAATCTTTTCATCTTCATCATCTATAATTTGCCATAATGGTTCTTTCCAATGGTTGTTACAGAATAGAGAGTGGGGTTTTTTGTTTATTTTAAATATGTACTCACTTATTTTGTATCTGTCCCTATCCATGTGGCAATTGTTTCATTAATTTAATGGCAATAATTTTGTTTATGAAAGAGTTAGCAGAAACCTGCTGGAGCTTGTCAGTTCTGGCATTACCTAAGATTCATGAAACAGTATCCATGATGAACAGGAAATTCTGTGGCAGTGGGTGAGGTGCAGGTTGAACATCTGGCATTTCAGGTCTATTCCAGTAACCACAATAAAACTAGGAGCACTAGTCCCTGAGATGATATACCGTGTCATGACTAGGTGTAACTAGTACTAACTTGCATGAGGTTTGGTGGCGATTTCCACTTTACAATTTTAACACCAGAGAACTTGACAACAAAAACATGTGAGTAGAAGCATCCTCAGAAACCATGGAAGTATTCACATATGTGGTCATCACAAATCTCCCACCAAAAATCTTGAGCACTCCAGCCTGTCTTAGGAAGCGGTACTGTTAGGAAAAACAAGATTGCAGCAACAGTCAGATGCTCTTATTTCTTATTTTGAATTGTTTATTGCTTTCTACCATGCCTCACGAAGTTTTCTTAATTGCAAAAGAGAATGAAAGATGTTCGCTCCATGATAACATAGGGTTTGAAGCGCTAATAGATTCCAACAGCTTTATAATATGGGAAAGAAAAAAAGACTGAAAAATTGACTGAAAGCACCTAAATAACAAAAGATTGATGATTCATTGTCAGCAAAGGAACGTGTAAATAACCAAAGTGTTTCAAATGTTTTGAAGTTTCCTAATAGATTCAGGATATTGTAACATAACCTCTCTCTAATATCCATGACAATATACATTCCCCTTCACATACTTTAAGCCAGGAATATTTTGAGGGTGATGATTCATTGTGTAGTAATATCCCCTATGGTCACTGAATTCTCCAAGAGGCTAACTGATGAACTAGATAAAATATTTCAAAAGTTACAAAACTATTTACCTTACAAAAACTCTATAAAAGATTGTGTGACTAAACAATGCCTTCTAACTACTGGAACTGTGACAGTTATATTTGAGGAGATGGCAATAATTAGTGGGAAAGTAGATAGGTTGAAAGATATATTTGGCTAGTTTTGATAAGCCACATCCTAATTTACCCCCTAAATCTTGATTACTGACAAACAAGAATTAAACCCTCTGAGTTTTTAGCCTATCTGATAAAGGGATAGGAGAAATTCCTGTATCTACCAACAAAATAAAATCTCTATTTTCTCTTCTATTGAAAATGAAATTAAACTTTGCTGAGAATAAACAGAGGGAGGTGGTAATCTAAGGGATGCATTATTTACTCTGTAAGCCAACTTTTTCATTGCAGAACATATTTGATTTATCTTAAAAAGTAGAGTGGCTGTCACGTTGGGAAGGTGAGAGAAGAGTTTTGCTAATGTTTAAACATGCCACAATCCCAATTATGTTGCAGAAGATGAGCAGCTATTTGGCAACTTTTGGTATCTTTCCCATTTGTGTGCAAGGAGTCACGTGATCGCCATTACAGTCAGTACGCGTTGTCCTGTGCCTGACTTATTGTTTTTCTTTTTTTCCCTCCTTGCAGAGAGATTGGAGAAAAAGGGATTACAAGAGAGTAAGCAGGCACACAATGGGGAATGCACATTGAAAGAAATGTGCTGGCACCAGCAGCCGCGAGCACGCTCAGCAAACAGCCCAGTGTATTCCCCATTATGTGCCTGCTTACTCTTTTGTAATCCCTTCCTCTCCAATCTCTCTGCTCTGCAAGGGGGTTAGGGAAAAAAACGCAATTTCTGTAGGCAATTTCTCCTGTGCCTGACTCTTCCCCCTCTTGCAGACTGGAGAGGTTCAGTTCCCTTCTTGCCCATTATACCAGTGCCTGGGTGAGCATTCCAAAGGGTGGGGGAGTGAGGAAAAGGAAAGCATGGTTGCAGTCACATGATTTCCTGCTTAGCAACCGCTTTACTTAGCAATGGAGTTGCCAGCCCTAATTCTGGTCACTAAACAACAGTCCACGTTACATAAAAACAGGCTACCTGTATTTATGTAACATGGACTGAGAAGGTAAAAGAATAGTGCAGTCTGTATATAAGTCTGACAATGTATACAATTCTCTAATTGATAAAATCCCTCAAAAGGATCTATTAATTATATTGCACATTAATTACTACATGTAAAGAGGCATTAATTTATAAAACTGAATAGGGATCTAAGCAAAAAATGATTCTAACCATGGTTTGTTGAGGAATGTGAAAAACTAGGGACTTCCTAAATGAAAATATTAATTTTATAGAAGAATAACAACTATCCGTTACTCCTGAACCTATTTCATGAGCAAAAAAAGAAGTATAGACTTTTACTGGGGAAAAAAAAAGGAAGCTCAGAGAGATTTTTGAAAACAACTGATCCAGTCTTCCAAATTTGATAATTGTACTACATTTTAGAATATTCTACCTGGCTGTTGAGGGGTGTTATATCAAAAACAAACATTCCCATTTCTGCCTCCATATTGGAAATTTATTATCCATCTATACAGCAGAAAGTTGTACGTCTGTTTCTCCACCTGATCTTTTAAAATCAAACACAGTATTGACTGGTGAGCACAAGTTTCAGTGGTTTTCATAAAATGAGCATTCTCTCAAAATGGAATACCTCTCTTATTTTCCCTGTATTTTAAAAAGGAGACTGGTCTGCTCCCTCTATTTATCCTCCAATCAGGAAAGCATACTTGCTGAGAAGCAGGCTGGTTTTTGGATGGGAAGATCACTGCTTGGTTTTATCAGTCCCCAGAGAGGCCCTGTACTTAGTATTTGTTGACTTTGAAACAGCTTTTGACTTTGTTTCTACAGAACAATTCTGCAACAAATTGGAGACCTTCGTCCATTGATAGGCGTCTACTGGCACTTACTACAGTGTTAGAAAAAGAGGTTAACCATTTCCTATTTTCTTGATGGTTGTGAAATCAACATATCAGTAACTATGTTCATTAAAACACAGATATTCAAAGTACTATATATGCAATGTATTGTCGAAGGCTTTCACGGCCGGCATACGATGGCTGGTGTGGGTCTTCCGGGCTGTGTGGCCGTGGTCTTGAAGTCTTGTATATATGCAATGTATTGTCGAAGGCTTTCACGGCCGGCATACGATGGCTGGTGTGGGTCTTCCGGGCTGTGTGGCCGTGGTCTTGAAGTCTTGTATATATGCAATGTATTGTCGAAGGCTTTCACGGCCGGCATACGATGGCTGGTGTGGGTCTTCCGGGCTGTGTGGCCGTGGTCTTGAAGTCTTGTTTCCTAACGTTTCGCCAGCACCTGTTTCACCAGCGTCTTCAGAGTGCAGGAGCACAGACAGGAGCAGTTCTCTCTGTGCCCAGGGTGAAGTGACAGGTGCTGGCGAAACGTTAGGAAACAAGACTTCAAGACCACGGCCACACAGCCCGGAAGACCCACACCAGCCATCGTATGCCGGCCATGAAAGCCTTCGACAATACATCAAACATTTATTTATTTATCTGAAATATTT